GGTCCATGCCCTCCTAAAACGCCCCGTTTAAACACGCCCCCACATGTCTATGTCACTGTGTGGGAAGATTTGCATAACACCGTCCAAATGCTGACACAAAGAAAGAAGGCGTAACTTTTATTCTCGCTGTAGTATTGTTACCGCCGCCGCCATGTCGTGGAGACGCTGTGTGTTTCGTTGTGAAAGCGAAACTACTTTGTTTGGTCTTCCAAAAGAGGACACAAATAGAAATTAGTGGTTAAGTTGTATTTACAACACTGTTCGAGAACATTTCAACCCAAATATTCAGATGTGTGCAGCGCATTTTACAGGGGACTGTTTCCTGAACCAGGGAAAGTTGCCTACAATGCCGTCTACACACAAAGGCTGTTTCTATAAAGTGGGGCAGTTCCAACTTTGCAAGGACAGTCTGGCGCTTCTGACTCACAGCCTGTAAGTACGTTTTCATATTTAAAGAATTTGCCACTGATGATTCAAATGCGAGTTTTGAGCAATGTAGAGATGTCTTGTTGTTTGTCATTTCTCCGATCACAAATGCAGACATAGTTTTATGTTTACGAGGCGCGATATGCAACGCAACACATAAAAAGACAAGTGCAAGTCATTATAATCCGTAATTATGTCCTCACTGGATGCAACAAATGCCTCGTTTATAATGGGTTTTAATGTTTTTGTCTCGTCGCTCTGGGACATGGCATCACAGTATGCTAAGGGGCGTAACATTTCCGTCACACGCTTGAGGTATTCGGCCAATCACAATGCACTGGATAGCTGGCCAATCAGAGCACACCTCGCTTTTCAGAACGATAAGCTTTGTAAAAATCGACGAGTTTCAGAAAGGTGGGGCATAGAGGAGCAACAATAATGTACAGTATGTGGAAAATAATCTGTTTTTTTTACCTTAAACCGCATAAATACATTGCATTACACCAAATTATGTTCTTTTTAGCCACGTCATATGACCCCCTTTAAGTAATACGAAGCAATATTACCTTTGCCGTTGTGTAGTCCACAACTTTTTTTGTTGTTAAGTCACACTTGTTGCCAACCAATAACTTGTTAACATTTTCACTGGCGTAGCGGTCAATCTCCTGTAGCCACTGTTTAACATTATTGAAGGACTCCTGAGGGCATAAAAAAAATGTTAAAACAAATCCAGGAGAGCACAAATTAAAACTAATTATTTTAAGGTATCTTCACAGGTGTTTATAGTGAAATTATGACACTTGCTTAAGGTTTGGATGAGCTCACCTGATCTGTAACATCATAGACTACAATAATGCCATGTGCTCCTCTGTAGTAACTGGATGTGATTGTGCGAAACCTCTCCTGCCCTGCTGTATCCCACTGTAAGGAAGAAGGAATAATATGACACCTGAATCAAATGCAAAAATAGGCTCAGAAAATACTGTTTTTATACTACTTCAATAGTAGGGCTGAGTACTGACACAGATTCCACAAATAAACTCAATTCTCTTAACTAATGCTGTAAGCTCGGCCTATACAGGAAACCCCTAAATAGTAAAGGGTCAAATCAACAACACTTTTGTGATAAAATTGACAATTTGAAAGCTGAGACTTGGTTTCTTATCAGAAGTAACACAACCTTTTGTGATTATTTGATGGCAGGAGTGCCATCAAATAGTATTTAGTGAAGTTCTGCTCACACATCGATTTAAGAATTTATATTTGTTTATCAAAATGAAAATTAAGTACTCAATATTGTTATGTTAACCCAGCCCTATTCAATAGTAGCAGACAAAGGTCCCTCTCTGACATAATTTACATCAAAAGATCAAGTAAATTCTTCATGACGAGCACTGACATAACTCTGCTCTCTCTGATGATGTCTCTAAAACCATACCATCGAAACACCAAGGGCTCACTTTTCTTCAATCACATGCTTGTATATTCCATTTATTTAATCTTATACACAAACATTCATTTCATTACAGGGCAGAAAGGAACTTACGATTTGAAGTTTGATGGTCTTTCCATCTAATTCTATAGTTCTTATTTTAAAGTCCACACCGATAGTGCTAATGTAGCTTTCTGTGTATGTGTCATCCTGAAAGAAGCAAAACAGCAGGTGAATTAGATGTTTCAATGGTCAAATCTCTCCCCACAGTGCTTTGAATTAAAATATAAATATATATGTGATACAAGTCTTTTAGAATGCACAGTTATTTTGTACACAAATAAAGATTATGTCTCCATGATGGCAAATGCAGGAAAACATATAGCCTGCTTACTGCAAATCGGAGAAGAAGGCAAGACTTTCCAACACCAGAGTCACCAATCAAGAGCAGCTTGAATAAATAGTCACTGTATGACGAGAAAGAGTAACAAAACATTAGTCAATATTGGTCTACCAATTTTTGACAGTACAGTTGTGTGAAATACACGTTACTGTATAAATATGTACCCGTTATATTGATGCAGACAGTTGGCCCTACATCTCAAAACACCCAAGCCTTGAACCCAACTGTTGCTTTCTTTCACTGTATATTATACATTGTTTATAATTTTTTAGATGTACATTAGGAATGAGGTCATTAAAATCCCCCTGCAACATGTGAAATAGATCAGACCCTTGCTTTCCAGCACTGTAAGACCATTTTCTGATGTAATTCAGTTAAACAGTGTAAATCAGTCAATGGTCCACTTTTGCATGCAGAAAATAAAATGTTTGTTTAACAGAAACAATGTGCTTGAGGACCTCTGAGGTCGGGAAACTCGTGTAAGCTGATTAAGCATTCCACAGAGAGGGAATTTTGCCCATTGTGATAAATCCCCTGTCCCTATTCAACATGCATTAGTAAGAAAAGACCATAGGAAGGAAATCCAGTGGATCGGCCTTGTCAAGACCAGCTCATCGACTCAGCAGAACGGTCTGTTTTCATCTCCATCCTGCCAACTAAACTGAATTCAAGTCATGCTCTCCTTGTTAGGTCTCCTGTGTAGAGACCTGCTACACAAAAAACTGCATGTAAAGACCCTCGGTTTATACACTGGTTTCGGATTTCTATCAAACAGAATAAGTAGGTGTATATAAGTGTCTTCAACTAAGTTTAAACATGCAGATCTTAAGTTCTGCATTATATCCTATATGGATGTTAAAAACTTGTGTCATGAATTCTGACTTGCAGTCTTTTTTTTATTTTTTAAATCACTATTCATGTTCTTTCAGGAAGCCACAAATGTATACGCATTTGTATTGAATCTTTTATACAAATCATGCGAAGAACCGAAAGAGAAGTGTTAACCTCTAAACAACTATCATTGTAATAGCTCCTAACTATGAAAAAACTTACTACACCCTTATTCTGACCATGTAAAACACAAGCAACAGCTGATACGAAGTCCATTAAGTAACAGAGTTGCTTAACACTCAGTCTAGTGATAGTTGTAATGAAGCGTGTAGCTTGTCATTTGGCATGTGACCTACACATGACTACCGCACAATAGAGGAAGGGATGGGCACTTCAGTTCCTTGAGACATACTTGACATCTGCACATTCAGATATTTAGACAGGAGTGTAGGAACCTCACAATTCAGTGCCAATGGACACAGGAAACATGGCAGCAAATACCTTTTAAGATTATGTAAATAAATACTTATAAGAAATCAAGATAGCACAAATCCGACTGGTGCTGTGCAAATGTGGCTATTATGCATGTAATCTTGCTAAACCATCGTTTATTTCTAAGAAGCAGACCGAAAAACCCTGACTTTAACTTAAACATTTAAGTTTAGTGTCCAAGTGTACAGTAATTATACACCTGTGATTAAATATTTAGTGTTAAACAAGTCACGTGACTATATTTCTGTGTGTGGCAAACCCAGGTGATAAAACGCATGAATAAAAGATCACAAATTACTTTATAAACTTTAAAAGGGTGTTTCAGCACATAAATGAACGCGACTAACTGATTACTCACTAGTCATTTGCAAGACCATCTTCCTGATACTGACATCCATTTTTGAACTTAAACCGCAACCCTCTTTCTGAACAAATTAAGGGGTCAGCAACAGGTTACCAAACCACTTAAGTTAATCAGTTATTTATCTACTTCACCAGCTCGTGAAGCTGTTTAAAAAGTAAGTTAAGTGAAAAGCGATCTGAAGACGTTAGCTTACATCAGCTAACTTTCATATTAATTTCTGATGAAGCCTGGCAGATAACACGTGTTTTAATAGAATGAGATGAAATTATTACAATATACTAAGTGTTAAAGGTGTGGTATGACTAACTAATGAGCTCTACTTGTCACAAATGTAACGCGGATGGATATTAAAACCGGCTGAGCTCCGCTATACAACAATAGCCGCTTAATCACAAAAACACTTCTTTAAAGAAAGCTAGATGTAAAATATTCTGGTCTTTAAAATCAAGTTGCTTTCCAGCTTTGACTAAGTGAAATAGATCAAATACAGTGATATTAGTTGCTGGTAAGATTAAACACACAGCTAGTCATCATCGCCTCTGCCTGTCAAAAGTAGCTACAGGTAAATTATGAGCTCAGTAACGACAAACAAGCAGTGTAATAACTCAACCACTTACTACTCGGGATTCATCGTGGACTGGACACTGTGAAAACCGTTTGTCTTCTAACAAAACAACTCCGCGGCGTGAAGGTAGACTAGAAACGACAACCTTTCCTCCGATTAAAAAGTAACTAGCTGGCTAGCTACTGCCGCAAAGGCTAGTCTGTTGAAACCCAAAATGGCTGACTCTTCAACCAGGAAATAGGAACTCCTTAAACAGATTGCGTAGGCATTGTCGTCATCATGACCTGCGCGGATGTTGTAGTTTAATTCAGAGATCATCTGACCTGCCCGAACGGAAAATGTCTGCAGAAAGAACTACAATACCCACATCTGTTTATTAAACGTTCACGATGAGTTCATAGTGAATTGAATCGCTCACGCCTGAGGACTGCCGCAATCCTGCCCCCTATCATGAGGGGTAAAATATTACGTCATTTGTGAAACGTGGCATTGGCTAATGTGAGTGCGAGTCACTGATCAATACGTGTCAAAAAGAAGACCGTGACCCACCAGATACATTTTTATTGATTATGAGAATAATAAACAAAGTGCTTTTCATACAAAGTATTCAAAGGTTAACACAAATGTTAAAAGTAATGACGTTTTATGACCAACCGCATACTTAATGAGTAGAAATTAAACATTTATGGATTTCTTTTGGTTAATGACTAGCTCTTCCACCGAACTCAACCCTTGGCTCCAGAATGTGTATGGAAATTCCACTGAAGATGCAGCTCCGACCTCTCCCTGGGAAAAGACCATAGTTTAATTAGGCTGATAGAAACCTGACGCAAGTATAATACACCGTGTGTGTGTGTGTGTGTGTGTGTGTGTGTGTGAATGAATACCCGGTAAGCAGTAGCTGAATGGTCAGAAAGCATATTGGCATTGGGTTCAGATGTAAAACCCAATTCCTGAGCAAATGCTTCTGCTCCATCTCCAACAAGCAAGCTGTGAGGACTCTTCTCCATTACTTTGCGAGCTACACGACATGGTTGTGCAATTCTACCAATGAAAACACAAGCATACAAGATGGTTCAGGGCCAGATGGCATGGAAATAAACCTCCCTTTTTCCCCCAAACAGTGCATGACAAACGAAAGCGTTGTACCCTGGAGGCATTTTGTTACATGTAAGAAATTCCACTGGATAAAATAATCAAGGTTTTTTTTTTTTACCCTCGAAGTGCAGCCACTGCCCCAAATCTCCCTGGCACACCTTCCATAATTGCAGCATCACATTCAACCACTCCCTTGAAATTTGGATATCCTCCTCTGCCAACAATGTGCCGTCCCGTGTCGACATCATCTTCAACCTCTAAGAAAATATACCTCTTATTATTCATTCGAAAAACATAAATGCATTGTTGTTGTTTATAAAAGAAAGATACCATGATATAGAAAACTATTTACTTACTATTTGACACACTTAATAAACACATTTCAACACTTCCAGTAAGCCTCTTAATTAAATAAAGTCTGCTTACTTTAACAAACATAGTCTTGGGATTAATATGACAAAAGGGAACTGCAAAGGTAGCAAGAATAGTGAGTATTTTGTTTCATGAGCCACTTGAAAACCAGTTGTTTAATGTCCATCTGCCTCATTTATTAACAGTACCTGTATTTTTCGACCACCTTTAAATAATACAATTTCACGTAGTTGATTGATGAAGACTGAAGAGTACAAACAGATGTCTATTTATATGTACCTGCCATTGCTGTTTCTACAACATCTGTAGCATTTTGTCCAGCTAGCAGCATACATCTCATTCTCTCCACTGCAGGACGAGAGAAAGACCATGTCCCCACAGCTGCCATTTGACATCAGTACATTTAAACACACGTATTTATGTACGGGAAGCGTTAATTTCCCTCTTTTGTAAGAATTCAAGTGTAAACCCGAAGATTGTGAAAATACAATTTCAAAATAAAAGTCAGGGCGTTAATTGAAAGTGACAAGATTTTTAATGGACATGGGAGAGAATTTTTAATATTACTTTGGAAGTTGTATAGGAAAGTGGTCTGGCTTATCATTTTTTTTCAAACATGATTAAACAATATTACAATGTTTTGAATACGTGTATAAGCAAAAAGTAAAGAGCAAAATTGTAATATTATTCCCAAACATTTTATTAAGTGAAGCAGCAGCTTTTTACTACACTCTAGCACTTTTTTATTTTTACATTTACTTAATTTATTTTTTGCAAAATTTAGTGTTTTCCTAATTTTAACTTCTGTTTTTCAATGTTGATTTATTATTATTATTATTATTATTATTTTCGTGCTGCTTAAATTAAAATCCATGAATATAAAATAGTGCAAACAAGTGATGTGAACCCATAATGCACCGGAAGCGCATTATTAAAGTCGGCGGAAGTTGTTGTGAAATCTCATGTTTTGCGCGCTCCTTGCGCTTCTGGAACTATTCCGCACGAACTCATTGCCAGCCTGAGCGATTCTGCTAATTAACGGTTTGTTTGGACGTTTTTTCATATACAATCATTACACAATTTCGGCAGAGGGAGCTGTTATATATGTAGCATGAACTGCTTGAGTTTGTAACGAATAGATTAGCTCTACAAACCAGCCACGTTAGCCACGCTGGGCTTCATTCTGCGCAGAAGGCATTAACGTTAGTTACTCTGATACGTGATCATTTGTCAGCTCTGGCGTCACTTTCTGTTGAATGTGAATTGTCTTGTTAAGCGGCATTGTTTATGTTATATAACATTGATTTGAATTTCCGTAGAGCCACATTGCAGTGCAAATAGCATCATTTCTCTCTAACTTACTCTACTCTTGGTGTGTACATTATTGACACGTTTTATGTTCTGTAAATCAAATTTTTATTTTATATTCCCTGTGAACTTAGAGTAATGACACTGCGCAGTCTTCATTTTACAACCGAACCATTAAATTATGTTCCCCCCTTTTAGATATGCACGTATTTATTTGTCTACAACGCACGCAAGGTTATCACAAGACTTGGTGCTACACTGTTCTGTGAAAGTGTGTTTGTTAGATTGGTTTTTGTGTTCTTTTTCACCACAGTTCTTCTAAAGCTATTGGTGTCTTCAAGCTAGTCCTGAAATCACTACTTGGTTGTTTTGCTTCATAGCCTGTCAGTATGGAGCAGAACAACAGCCTACCTCCTTTCCCCCAAGGGCTGGCATCTCCGCAGGTGAGTAATGCAGTGCTGAGTAAGCATAAATACACTGGAATACACTACACTGCTTTTAAAGTCTGCACAGATTTAAAAATATTAGGCATCATACACTTGCCAAGAAATGCAGAGGAAAACTAGGGAATCATACGTTACGCTAGGGGTTTTCAAACGGAAACCCAAATATTAATGTCCTGGTGCAAGGGACCCCCACTGTAGAAAATTAAATGTCATTTGAATAGATTTTTGTATAAAGCACCGCATTATACTATGAAAAGTTAATATTGTTAATATGTATTATTATTTGGAAAATATTTAGCTTTAATTAGGCTGTTTGTCTGTTAGTATAGTATTGAACTGTTAGATTTATTGTAAATTAATTTAAATTAAATCTGTGCAGAAGACATGTAGTATATTCCAGCCTTTACATATAATACAGATATTTTAATCAAAACTCTTTCAGTGCATCAGCACATAAAGTTAACAGTCCCCTCACATCTATTCGAAGGGAGCCATGACGCCTGGCCTGCCCATTTTCAGTCCCATGATGCCGTACGGCACGGGTCTTACACCACAGCCAGTGCAGAACACCAACAGCTTGTCCCTCCTGGAGGAGCAGCAGCGACAGCAACAGCAGCAGCAACAACAACAAGCAGCCTCACAACAGCAGAGTGGGATGGTGGGAGGTTCAGGCCAGACACCCCAGCTCTACCACTCGCAGGTCTCCACCACAACGGCACTGCCAGGCAACACGCCACTTTATAACACACCACTTACCCCTATGACCCCCATCACTCCTGCCACACCGGCCTCAGAGAGCTCTGGTATCGTCCCCCAGTTACAGTGAGTTCTTTAGCTGTCATCAAATAATCCTGTCAAAAACATTATTGGTTGACTTTCAGATAATAAAAAGTGCTTTTGAGCTGTTAAACATGTCTGAGATGATCATGTCGGAGTACACTTTATGCTTTAGTCTGCAGTCTACAATTTCTGTGTATTATGTGCAAAAAAAGAATAAAGTATATTAAATTTTATTTTTAAGGAATATTGTGTCTACTGTAAACTTGGGGTGCAAACTTGACTTGAAGACGATAGCACTTCGAGCCAGAAATGCTGAATATAATCCAAAGGTAAGACTAGTTTTAATTGGTTAAAATAAGATTAGATGGTTTGATTTTATTTCCTTTTTTGTATTTTTTTGAACTTTTGCAAAGATTACAGTTCAAGTGGATCACAAATAGATATTTTCTGAACAATAACTTTCAAAAACATTATTGGTTGACTTTCAGATAATAAAAAGTGCTTTTGAGCTGTTAAACATGTCTGAGATGATCATGTCTGAGTACACTTTATGCTTTAGTCTGCAGTCTACAATTTCTGTGTATTATGTGCAAAAAAAGAATAAAGTATATTACATTTTATTTTTAAGGAATATTGTGTCTACTGTAAACTTGGGGTGCAAACTTGACTTGAAGACGATAGCACTTCGAGCCAGAAATGCTGAATATAATCCAAAGGTAAGACTAGTTTTAATTGGTTAAAATAAGATTAGATGGTTTGATTTTATTTCCTTTTTTGTATTTTTTTGAACTTTTGCAAAGATTACCGTTCAAGTGGATCACAAATAGATATTTTCTGAACAATAACTTATGCAATGTCTTTTTTGGCAAAAAACTCCATTTTGATTGAACACAAATATCCATCAATAACACTTTCAGCGTTTTGCTGCCGTCATCATGAGAATACGAGAACCCAGAACAACAGCGCTCATCTTCAGCTCAGGGAAGATGGTGTGCACAGGAGCGAAAAGGTACGAATGCCATCTGCGGACCTGCTGTCATTTTCTTCCTCTCACACAAACTTGTAGAACAAACAGCAGTGTGTGAGTTTGCCTTTTTTGTGTGCACTCACTTCTGCAGTGAGGAACAGTCCCGATTGGCAGCCAGAAAATATGCCAGAGTGGTGCAGAAGTTGGGTTTTCCTGCCAAATTCTTAGACTTCAAAATTCAGAACATGGTCGGCAGCTGCGATGTCAAGTTTCCCATCCGATTAGAGGGCCTGGTGCTTACACACCAGCAGTTTAGCAGGTTTGTCTTGCTTTATTTATTAATATTGTTTATATAGCACATCCCAAACTAAATTGAGTACTTTTGAGTACTACACTGTTGCTGTTTGTACCTCCTTTGGTTATGTTAATTGAGTGTGTATTTTACTATTATACTAATGTATTTGCAATCCCCTGGTCTTTTATTCAAGTGTGAGCAGCATTCTGACTGAGATGAAAAAAAACTACAACACTAATATGCTGCTGATGCTTTTTGCGGACCTGCTGTCATTTTCTTCCTCTCACACAAACTTGTAGAACAAACAGCAGTGTGTGAGTTTGCCTTTTTTGTGTGCACTCACTTCTGCAGTGAGGAACAGTCCCGATTGGCAGCCAGAAAATATGCCAGAGTGGTGCAGAAGTTGGGTTTTCCTGCCAAATTCTTAGACTTCAAAATTCAGAACATGGTCGGCAGCTGCGATGTCAAGTTTCCCATCCGATTAGAGGGCCTGGTGCTTACACACCAGCAGTTTAGCAGGTTTGTCTTGCTTTATTTATTAATATTGTTTATATAGCACATCCCAAACTAAATTGAGTACTTTTGAGTACTACACTGTTGCTGTTTGTACCTCCTTTGGTTATGTTAATTGAGTGTGTATTTTACTATTATACTAATTTATTTGCAATCCCCTGGTCTTTTATTCAAGTGTGAGCAGCATTCTGACTGTGAGATGAAAAAAAACTACAACACTAATATGCTGCTGATGCTTTTTCCCCCAGCTATGAACCGGAGTTATTTCCAGGATTAATCTACAGAATGATCAAACCCAGAATCGTACTTTTAATATTCGTTTCAGGAAAAGTTGTACTTACAGGTGAGATTATTGTTGTATTTAAAATGGTAAAACAGTACCATGCAGTTCTAGTATGATGTTGTGTGTCCTACTGAAGTTGTATAATGAAAATTATTTTATTTCCAGGTGCAAAGGTTAGAGGAGAAATTTACGAAGCGTTTGAGAATATATACCCTATCCTGAAAGGATTCAGGAAGACTACGTAATCTTGTTCCGTTATCGCTGGTGAATTACTTCCTGAGCCCACCGGTATGTCTGGGGTGACCTACTCGGGTTTTATTTACTTTTGTAAGCCTGTAAATATGAAGGACACATTTTCTTCACTCAGAAAGTGAACAGATTTGAGGGTTAAAAATGCTTTTTTCCCTTTTTAAATGTTTTTCACCTGCCATTTGGTTTTCAAAATACTGTTTTAACTATGTCCGAACATTTTAATGGTTTGAATTCTTTTATGGTTTTGTTAAAATGTTAATTTTATACTTTTACACATTCCCTTTATTAGCAGGTTTTATGTATTGCATTACTGATTGTCTGTCAGTGAGAGGAATCAGTCTGTAGAAAGCAATGATGATGTTGATCAGTGCAAGGGAACTCTTTTGTTTGGAGAAGTGCATTTAGGTTATTTTCCAACAAAGCTTTGGAAACAAGTTTGCGGATCATCGTTTGTTGAAGTCATCATGTGGATTTGGCCTTTTAAGTTAGTTTTCAAATGAGATTGGTTGACAGATCTAACGATTTTAATTGCCATTTCTTTGCATGATGACTGTAGGTCTCTTAATAGCCCCATATAAAGCACTGACATCTTAATTTAATACTTTTGTCTATGTAACTAATTTACTTGGCTACATTGAATGCAAATAAATGTTTGCCAACTTCAGTCTATTGCTGCATTGTAAAGTATTACCTCCGTGTATGTTGTCTGTTTTTTTTTGTTTTTAATAATGGTAATGAGATTACATCTTCAGTAGTGTTATGATGACAGTTTTTACAACAGAAAGGACTTTAAGTGAGGAGAATCAGTATTAGTGTGAGATTATTTTGGATTTCATACCAGAACTACACTAATTAAACCATAAGTAATAGTATTATTACAACAAGGCAGGAAATGGTGTTAAGATGTTGACTTTAGAAATTACAGGCTTTATTTAAAACTGATCTACGTCAACGTTTATATACTACCATTCGATCTAGGGCTAATACGATTTTTTAAAAATGTTTTGAACAGTATCTCAAGGCTGCATTTATTTAATCAAAAATACAGTAAACTAATTCTGTGAAATATTATTTTTTTTTAAAAACTTTATTTAAATATGCAATTTATTCCTGTGATGGCAACACTGAATTTTCAAGAGTCATTACTCCAGTCTTCAGTGTCACATGATCCTTCAGAAATCACTGTAATATGTTGATTTGCTGCTCAGGGAAAATTATCAATGTTGAAAAAAGGCTGTACTGCTTAATATTTCTGTGGAAACCATGATACATTAATGTAGATTTGATTCTTAGATGAGGGAAAAGTTTAAAAGAACAGCATTTGCTTGAATCTTCTGCAACCGTGTAAAAGTCTTTACTGTCACTTTTGATCAATTTAATGCATCTTTGATAAATCCAAAAATAAATATTACTTATGTCTGAATTGCCTAAATGTTTGGTAATACTTCTTGTGACTTTAAGTGAGGAGAATCAGTATTAGTGTGAGATTATTTTGGATTTCATACCAGAACTACACTAATTAAACCATAAGTAATAGTATTATTACAACAAGGCAGGAAATGGTGTTAAGATGTTGACTTTAGAAATTACAGGCTTTATTTAAAACTGATCTACGTCAACGTTTATATACTACCATTCGATCTAGGGCTAATACGATTTTTTTTTAAAATGTTTTGAACAGTATCTCAAGGCTGCATTTATTTAATCAAAAATACAGTAAACTAATTCTGTGAAATATTATTTTTTTTTAAAAACTTTAAATATGCAATTTATTCCTGTGATGGCAACACTGAATTTTCAAGAGTCATTACTCCAGTCTTCAGTGTCACATGATCCTTCAGAAATCACTGTAATATGTTGATTTGCTGCTCAGGGAAAATTATCAATGTTGAAAAAAGGCTGTACTGCTTAATATTTCTGTGGAAACCATGATACATTAATGTAGATTTGATTCTTAGATGAGGGAAAAGTTTAAAAGAACAGCATTTGCTTGAATCTTCTGCAACCGTGTAAAAGTCTTTACTGTCACTTTTGATCAATTTAATGCATCTTTGATAAATCCAAAAATAAATATTACTTATGTCTGAATTGCCTAAATGTTTGGTAATACTTCTTGTGAAGACCTCTTAATTTTATTAAGGGTAAGAAATTGTGTATGTCAGTGCCTTAAAATAACCAATGCCTTTATCATTTACATTTCTTCAATATTATAAATGTGGTTTTTCATGCAGCATAATAGTCTGCATTATAGTTCATTTGACTAGACCAATTCTACACTGCTTGATCTCCTGAAAAGTCTTGTTTCCAGATGAACTCAGCAGAATATTTGGTGCCTTGGTCACAGCTGTCAGCACAGGTGTAGATGGCCACTGTCCCCCAGTCTATGCTGGCATCTGTCGTATCCACTTTAAGGTGATTAAGTAACTGAGGCATGATCTGAAATAGACAGTGACACCTTAAACAGTGCAATGCATTCATCTAATGCCATTTATGAATGACGGGTCAGTAAGATTTTTAAAAATGTTTTATGTCTTATCACCAAGGGTGCATTTACTTAAAGCTGCAATCCGTAACTTTTGGCGCTCTAGCGGTTAATAAGCAGAAGTGCGTGCGTCTTGTGGAAGAACATTGTAGCCGGAGCTACTTCTCTCTGTTTGTCTATGGCCAATCACGCAGGTACTGGGCTACTCCGCAGCGGTACCTACCCGAACCAGTCTAAATAGTCCGAATATAAACACTTATATGTGTACCGTAGTGATTCAGGACAAGCCAAAAACACGGTTTGGAAAATTGATTCATGGTGTACTCGCTTAATATATACATTTTGTAACTTTTGAACACAAAGTTACGGACTGCAGCTTTAACCAAAAAAATTAAATGCAGTAAAAACTAATACTGTGAAATACTACAATTTAAAAATAGTTGTTTTAATATTTTATTAATTAATATTATATATTTTAAAATATATTTTATTCGTGATGGCAGAGCTAAATTTTCAGTAGTCATTACTCCAGTGTCACGTGAAATCATTCTAATATTTTCATTTGCTGCTTGAGAAACATTTCTTATTATAAATGTTGAAAAAAAGTTGTGTAGCCTAATGTGTGTGTGTGTGTGTTTTCCAGAAATCTTTTGTAACATTGTCTTTTGATCAATTCAATGCATCCTTGTTCTTTCAAAACAAATCTCACTGACCCTAAATTTTGAACAGTAGTGTATGCATGCCTATGTGCTCTTTATATTTAACATATACTTTACGTTACCTGAAATTCAAACAGACGTTTTGCACCACATGGACATTCTGGAACATCCTCCTCACGTGGCACATGTTCAGCTGACACCCAAAGAGGAGATCCTACTTTGCGATACCGCAAAACCTTAAAAATACATATAAAAATCACACAGATGTTGAACCACACAACACACAAAACCCATGGCCAGCATTTGCTCTTCAGGCTGTGACTTTGTAACTGACCTGTTGTGGTTCATTAGCAATGCGCTTCTTGAACTTCTGAAACACTTTAGAGTCTTGTGTTTCATGAAGGGCCATACTTTCTAGTTCACTGTCCTCCAAACCTGAGAACGTAAATAAACACTGTAAATGATTATTCCTTGACAAGATGTGGAAATATCAGGCTGACAAATCTGATCTGAAAGGTGTACCATTATTTAAACATGCCATGCTCTCCTGATCCAGAGTGTGGGCTTCATGAAGTTCCTCATCTTTTGCTAGAAGCTTTTCTGGGTCTGTAACCAGCTCCCACTCAGGAAACAGAAATGAACTAAGCTCCTCAGAGCTTTCAGAAGCTGTGGATTCAGATATGAAGACAACATGCAAATCCAGCATCTTCACCTCCAAGGTGTATGGCGTCATGTGGGTGAGCGGTTTGCTGATGTCAACGTTGTGGATCGAGTGGCCCATGGTAGCGGTGGGGTTATGGTATGGGCAGGCATATGTTATGGACAACGAACACAGGTACATTTTATTGATGGCATTTTGAATGTATGTGTATGTGAAACTGCACATTTTAGAGTGGCCTTTTATTTTGGCCAGCCTAAGGCACACCTGTGCAATAATCATGCTGTCTAATCAGCATCTTGATATGCCACACCTGTGAGGTGGATGGATTATCTCGGCAAAGGAGAAGTGCTCACTAACACAGATTTAGACAGATTTGTGAACAATATTTGAGAGAAATAGGCCTTTTGTGTACATAGAAAAAGTCTTAGATCTTTGAGTTCAGCTCATGAAAAATGGGGGCAAAAACAAAAGTGTTGTGCTTATTTTGTTCAGTGTAGATTAAAGGTAACATAAGATCTTGACTGAAATAATGCATAACATGTCCAGCATTTACTTACCCTCATTTGAACATTCTTTCTTGTGTCTGTGTTTCCAGTCTATGGTCTGATGCTCTTTACAGCAGTATGTGACAGAGTGACATCGAGAGCAGGCTTTCTGTCCCAGACAACCACACAGCCTGCACAGTTTGAGCCCAGAGCCCAGAACCTGATGATTATTCACTAGCTGCTCTGGCTTCTCATCAGGAGAAGGATCAAAGGGGTAAAAGTCGTTTTTCCTTGGCAGCTGGCATCTAAACACTGGAAATGGGGGATAGTACAGAATACTGTGACTTTATGCCTATGTTAGCTTATATTATGAGCCACGATTAAAACGTCTGACTTTATTCTGTGGAAAATAAAAGTAGATCTTCTGAAGAATGTTGGTAACCAAGTTAAAAAAAATCATTTCTGAGGTGAACTATCACTTTAATAAAATTTGAAATAAAATAGGTAAATATATAATTAAAATATTAATACATAAAAACATTAGTAGGCTCTGTTCAAAATATGACAGATTATAAATTACCTTTAAAACACTTGTTATCATTTCGCGTATAGCAAGCTGGTGTCTTGCAGCAGAACACAAACAGTGTTCTGTGAAAACATCGATCATATTCCGTAATTGGTGCGTAGACCTGCAGAAGAAACACTGTGGACAGTTTACATTTCTCACACTGTAACTCGGACACAACTGGCAAATCCACTTGGCTCAACCACGCAGGTCTCCCTCCGACTTTACTGGGAAACTGGTTACTAAGAAGCTGCCATGATTCTGCCTCCTCTAAGAAGCCCAACACGACCTCACGGTTTGTTTTGGATTCTTTCACTGTATTTGCAGCCATCTGTCAAACTCTCATGTGCATAATAAAGCTAAAGGTTTCGGAATCATGTGCGTGTGTCTGTTCATCTGAAACTGAGGCTCGGGTGAAACAAGATCTGCGACTAACGTTCCACACGAAAATAAGAACCCAGAGCAATAAAACACACATAATGTAGATAAAACTCACTAATATTATATAAATTAATATTATTACTAGTTTATATTAATATTTACTATTAGAGTAAAAATCATTTTTAAAGTATATAGAAATATTTTGTTCTTGGGGGAATTTAAACCTGTTTTAGCATTTGTCCAATAGATGGCGTGAAAATTCCACGCTCCCTTTTGGTCCCATTACTTTATATATATATATATGTGTTTATGTGTGTATATGTGTGTGTGTGTGCATATACATACATACAGAGGAGAACGAGGTCACGATATTTTATATTGACAGAAAGTTGCAAATACGTAACTTAACTACTTAAAGAATTGAAAGCGATTTATGATGCTGCCAATATTCACATTTCGCATTGTTCTTTTAAAAAAATATACATGTAGGCCTAATAAACACTATAATGTAAATATTGTTCAAAGGACACAAATGTATATGCACTTTAACCGTTTTGAATTTCAAGGACATCATCACTGATAACAAATAAAAATGCTGACGCGTGTATTCGCGCCAGTTCGGTTGAGTTTATCAGTAATGACAACAGGTCTGCTGAACTTCAGTTCACGGATGAATGCATTTCACAGTGGATGATGTCATGGGCTCTGTCTCTAATCCCAGTCAGCAGCCTACCTTGTGTCCGGCCA